GACACAATAGCAAGATTTAACTGGTAAATTTATATGAGCCTTCGAAAGTTTAAGCATTTGTGACATCCTTCCTTGTGCTCTCAGTGCCATTTTGCTATGTTCATCATCACCTTCCACATTTTGTGACTGCATCTTCCACACGTGAGGTGTAATTAATTTCCAAAGCAAAATTAGCCCTTATCAGTCTTAACCGTTTAAAGAAATGAGACTGCAAATTGTCCTTCACTTATAGGTGATTTAGAATCACAGCCTCTCCGAAAATCCGCTGTAAAACCAAGTCAACAACCTCAAAAAAGACGTGGAAATAATTCCTCGTTTCGTAAGGAGAATACCAAATAACGCCACTAAAAACACAAGAAGAAGTAGTAATGCTTGAGGGGTGACTCAGACTTTCCAAGACTATAATTTTTCATCTCCATGTTTCTGCTGTCTGCCTACTGCTAGCTCCGGAACAGAGCAAGCCTCTGCCCAGCCTCCATCACCACCCTGGTGATGGACCTCTTGAACCTCATCATTTCCATTCGTTCATTTTATTTTTGTCAGCTATATAATACATGAACAGCATGTATGCATCAAAAAATGTACAGTTTTGTCTGATGTAAACCCCACCTCCTCTAAATTTCCTTTCTTACCTTCAGCTGGATATCTGCTTTTTCACTTGAATAGCCCATTCATCTTGGATAGGTGGATCTGGGACAGAAGTTGCTCCTTGGGGGGCGGCAGGAACAACACTAATTCCAGAGGAGGAGGCAGTTCTGAAGCACTGCTGATTTTGAAGAAATGGGAGGCAGTAACTCTAACCCTTCATGGGAATGGGCACTGCCAATGTCTGTGACCTCAGAAGCCTTTTCTGTCCCAAACAATTATGGGCTGAACAACGTGGCATTTAACTGAGGGATTTTCACTGACAGTTTTATTTGACTGAGGGGCCCCAAATCTGACCCTGAATCAATAATTTCCATCTATAGTTATTTTCATTTACTACTTTTGTCTCCTAAATATAAAGACTGCTATTTCACTAAATGGAAAGATGACACTTAGAAAGAAGGTTTCCAATGTTTTGCAGCAAGAACTGTGAATATAATAAAAGTGTATAGTAACTGCTACTGAAGGCTGCACAAGAAATTTAAGAGTAGATGAAAAAAGAGGAAGAGATATTGCTTTTATTTGCATTCTACCAGCTTTGATGTTGCTACTGAAATGTCTGCCTGTTCATTTGCAGCAAGGTTGTTTGGAGCTGCAAAATTAGTGTTGAGTATGCTCTGGATTAATAACGGGAGGCTTTGAGGATTTGATTACTGCACACTTCATCTGCCAACCAGCAACGTGCCTCCTCATCCAGAAGGTTTTCTGTACATTTTTCTCCCACTGTTTGGAGTTTGGTAACCAATAGGTGGATTGCAATTGTCATAGCACGTGAGATGTCTTTTTATCTCTATATCTTTTTATCTCTAAATACGTTAAACTATTGCTGCTGAATTTAAACCCATCGAACGTGAGCAGGGAACGCTGATTCCTTCATTCAAGTTGAAACTTGGGGCAAAAAAGGGTATTTATCTCCCTGATTCTTGGAGTATCCAGGAGCCCAGGGTTTTGCAACAAACACCAGCTCCCCAGCACATTAAGAAGTGCTGAAGTCAGTGAGCCAAGCTGATTGCAACCACCTCAGTTCTTCAGCCTTTGAACAGCCAGAGTGACTAAGCCTCTAAAAAATACTCCCAGGGGGCTCCTGCACCTGCAGCTTTTGTTTTCAGCCGTGTAAGGAGCTCAGTCAAACCCTGCTGCATCGTGGTTGATTGGAAAACTGCTTGTGAGAGGAAGAGCCACTGCCCTGATGAAGATGACATTAACCCCCTCCTGTCCCTTCCCACAGCTCCTGCTCAGGTGTGTGACCTTTGAAAAGGCTGCTCCCCCCTGAGAAAGCAGTGGCTCCCCTGCCAGGACCCACGGCAGAGGCTGTGATGGGACAGTTGTGGTCACTCCTGCTGTTTTCATCAGTCATAGCAAATGAACGGAGCCGACAATCGGTGAGTGTGGAAAACTTAGTTCTGCTGGTGCCACTGCCAGTTTACACCACCCCACCCCAGAGGAGCCGTAATTTCAGTTATTCTTGTATCAGGAGCACACAAAGGTGTCCAGGGCTGAGCTCCAGACACACCCATCCTGCTAATGCCGATGCTTACCGTGCTCACAGCACAGAACGGGGATGTGCTCCTGTACAGGACCACTCTTTGATGCCTCTTGTCTGAGAAAAGAGATGAAAGTTTATGTATTTACTTTCCTTTTTTCTCCATCTCTGCAGCAACTGAAATGCTACTCTCTCTCCTTTTGGCAGACCACTGCTTTACTCAGGATGCACTCTACAAGCCTGTCTCTCCCTTCCTACCCTAAGTACATTTTTACAAGCACTCTGAAACAGCTGTCTTGAGGTTTTCCTGTTCCTCTCCTTGTCTTGATGTACCTGATAATGGTGGGGTTTTTTTAGCTTCTACCTCCCAGACTGCAGGGTCTCAGAGTACCAACTCCATTGCTTCTTTTCCCATGGAATTGCCCCCATTTCAAAAGGGATGGGTGAAGAAATCTGGCTAGGAGAGAGGGCATGGAGCAAGCTGTTTATAGTTTGAGATCTCCATCTATTTCTGGGCAGGGAAACGTAAAAGAAACTATTTTCCCTTGAATGTTAATGGACAATAATGTAATTTGAGATGTTTTTATGTTTTATTGTTGTCTTTAAAAAATAATTTATGGGAATTTTTCGGTCTCAATCAGACCAAATTGAGCATTTTTGCTCATTGTATGATAAAATGCCCAAATCTGACTACCATTTTGAGGCAGAAGGTCATCGTGTGGGGCTTTTGACTGTCTGTGTGACTTGAAATAGTATTTGAAAGAATGGATTTATCTGGTCTATATTTCCTCACCGATGGATTAGGAAGAGGCAAACTGTACCCATAGTATTCAAGGTCTGAAGATAAGCAAAAACTGTAGTGTGTTTGAGAATTTTAATTTTTTTAAGTAATTGTCTTGTGGCACCAGGAATAGTACAACTCAAGGCTGTGTCTCAATGGAAAGAAATGTAAGTTCTCCATCATTATTGCCCACGACAAATTCTGTAACGTTTCACAGCTTGGTTTTATAATTTGACCTTGAGTTTATATTTTGGCTTATTTTTATAGAAGAGTTCTTCATGAAAATTCCTATTCAGTCCCGCTTGGTAGTCCCAGACACTGATGGATGAAAGAACTTAAGATAACTTCAAGTTGTAACAGCGAAAGTATGTGATTGGATAGGAGGAAGCTTTGACTCTCTGATCTTATCCATGATATCACTAATGCCTGATCTGGACGTGTTCTCTCCGTATTTCTCCAGCGGAGAAACTGTCCAAGGAACACCTTTAACCCTGCGTGACCCGGTAGGTGCAAGGGGTGTGTGTGTCTGGAGATGTGCCCATCTCCATCCCGGACAGTATTCCTTGGGGAGGGTTCCCCTTCCCCAGCTGGCCAAGAGGGTAGTTGGGAAGAAGCATGTGGAGAGGGAAGAGATGAGGCTGAGCTGAGGCTGAGGACACCCCGGGGCTGCCCCAC